TTTGGGGAAGGAGGGGACAGGAGGAAACGAAGTCAGTATCCTGTACCCTTTTCCCTTGTCCCACAGGGATAGGAGGTGGTCAGCCACTCAGTAAGCATGGACCATGGCCTCATCACAAGCATGGCCTCACCATTGGCATCACTGGGAAGGGATACTAAATCCAGATTTCAGGTCCCTGTGAGCAGGTCAGGTGTTCCTTGGCCGCCCTGGTTTCAGAGAGGAAGGGAGAGGGAGAGAGAGATAGAAACATCAATGATGAGAATCACTGATCATCTGTCTCCTGCACACTCCACACTAGGGATTGAGCCCGAAACCTGGGCATGTGCCCCAACCTGGAATCTAATGGTGACCTCGTGGTTCATAGGTCACGCTCAACCACTGAGCCATGTGAGCCAGGAGCATGGGCTGGTCCTTTCTTATTGCATTTTAAGGATGAATTCCTTTATCTGTTATCCTTTTTAGCTGGCAAAATATAGTCAACTCCCTGTTATCTTCAAGGGCTACCAGGGTGCTCTGAGATTCCAGCATCTCTCTCACCTTAGAGCAGTGGTTCTCAACCTGTGGGTCGCGACCCCTTTGGGGGTTGAACGACCGTTTCACAGGAGTCGCCTAAGACCATCGGAAAACACATATATAATTGCATATTGTTTTTGTGATTAATCACTATGCTTTAATTATGTTCAATTTGTAACAATGAAAATACATCCTGCATATCAGATATTTACATGACGATTCATAACAGTAGCAAAATTACAGTTATGAAGTTGCAACGAAAATAATTTTATGGTTGGGGGTCACCACAACATGAAGAACTGTATTAAAGGGTCGCAGCATTAGGAAGGTTGAGAACCACTGCCTTAGACCCTCTCTCCTCCAGCCACTGTGCTTCTTGGGGCCTGACAAGCACAGGGATATTTCATTAGGGGAAGGGCCATGGTAGCTACAAACCTGGGAGGGCAGGACCATTACATGGAAGGGCCTCTAAGGCTAGGAATATCACTTGAGGTATGGCTGGCTGGGTTTCTCAGGACAAGGGGACCCACGTCTCATAGGAAGGCTACAGTCCTAGAGGCACCCTTCTCAACATCCTGGTAAAAAGGCTGTCCCGCCCTAGCTGGTTTGGCTCAGTGGATAGAACATCAGCCTGCGGACTGAAGGGTCTTGGGTTCCATTCCGGTCAAGGGCACATGCCTGGATTGCCGGCTCCATCCCCAGTAGGGAGTGTGAAGGAGGCAGCCACTCAATAATTCTCTCTCATCATTAATGTTTCTACTTCTCTCTCCCTCTCTCTCCCTCTCTGAAATCAATAAAAATATTTTTAAAAAGAAAAGAAAAAGTGGCTTTCTTTTTTAAAGGCTGTCACTTCGCCCAGCCCAGCGTAGCTCAGAGGTTGAGCATTGACCTATGAACCAGGAGGTCACAGTTCTATTCTGGTCAGGACACATGCCCAGGTTGCAGGCTGGATCCCAGTGTGGGGCCTACAGGAGGCAGCCAATGTTTCTATCTCTCTCTCCCTCTCCCTTCCTCTCTGAAATCAATTTAAAAAATATATTTTTAAAAAAAGACTGTCCCTTTTCCCAACACCTTGTGTATTCAAGGCATCAACATTATTTCAATTAACTTTTTCATGACTGTTCCTCATTTATTCCTTCATTCAGTCCTGCATTCCACAAACATCTATTCAGCATCACTGTATACCACTCTGCCCACGACTGAGGACTGAGTCCCTCCACACCAGGAGCTCCTGCTCTACTGAGAAAGCAATCACAAACTCTAAGGAGCAGGAGAGAATGCTTCACTTAGTTCCTAATCCAAAAAGGATTAATTAGATAAAGAAAGAGATAGTTGGGTAAAGGCAGAAAGGCCCAGGTTTGCTGTAAAAAAAATTGGAAAATAGCCCTAGCCGGTTGCTCAGTGGTTAGAACGTTGGCCTTCGGACCAAAGGGTCCCAGGTTCGATTCTGGTCAAGGACACATGGCTTGATTGCACATATGCCTGGTGGGGCTCATGAGGGAGGCAGCCAATCGATATATTTCTCTCACATCAATGTTTCTCTCTGTCTTTCCCTCAGGTGAGGATTAACAAACAAAATTTTGGAAAATAGATAAAAGCAGAAACAAAATTTTTAACCAATAATTACCAATTATGCCACTTCTGAGCTGTGTGGATTTTAGTTAGCCTCTGGGAGCCTCAGTATTCTAACCTGTAAAGTAGGAGTAATTGTCTCACAGGGTCATTGTGTCCACACATGATAATTTATGTAAGTGAAATGTCATGCATAGCCCTGGCCAGGTAGCTCAGTTGGTTAGAGTGTCGTCCTGATATGCCAAGATTGTGGGTTTGATCCCCGGTCAGGGCACATACAAAAATCAACCAATGAAATGTATAAATAGGTGGAACACATTGATGTTTCTCTCTCTCTGAAATCAATAAATACAATTTTTTTAAAAAAATGCCACGCATAGAATCTGAAACTTAATAGAGCCTTAATATTTTGCATGTACCTAGTACTGTTACATAACTATCATCCAAAAAAAAATCAACTGTTGTTAACATTTTGGTGCATTTCCTTTCAGTCTTTTTAAAACCCACACTTTCCCATACAGTTTGTGATTCAATTCAACATAATGTATACTAGTAGCTTGCCTTTTAAAATTTTTACTTAAAATTACAGCAAGAATTTTTCATGTTATTAAAAGCTTCTTATAAATACCGTTTTAGTGGCCACATAGTAGCCCATTGTGTAGATTTCTGTTGCTTTTTAAAGCTCCCAGGTTATATGTCAATTATATCTCAATAAAGCTGGCAAATAAAGAATAAAAGCTCCTAGGACTACTGTTTCCTTTATTCTTTTATTAATTTATTTTTATTTTTTTGTTTTCTTTATGCTTTACCCATGACCACCCCTGTCATACCAGGTCTTTGGGGAAGACAATGATGGAATAACCTGTTCCCCAACATCACATTCAATGCCAGTTATTTCCTGAGACATTGGTTAGGATGGGTCCTTTTACTTAGCCATTTCCACAAGTGTCTGTCCTCCCATACACTCACTGGCAACTAAGACATTTTCAGATCTGTGGTACTGTGTTGTAACTCAACACAACCCCTGCTTCAGAGGACCCTCTCTTCCTTCCTCTGGGCATCTTTGCCTCTCCCTCCCCCCTAAGCCTGGGCTAACGGTTCTTCAAGGATTCTCTGGACATCATCCCATTCCCACCCTTCCAGCCAGAGATGGCACCTCCACTGCTTTCCAAATTCGGTTTATTGTAAACATATTTTTTAAATATATTTTATTGATTTTTTTACAGAGAGAAAGGGAGAGAGGGATAGAGGGATAGAGAGTTAGAAACATCGATCAGCTGCCTGCTGCACACTCCCCACTGGGGATGTGTCCGCAACCAACGTACATGCCCTTGACTGGAATCGAACCTGGGACCCTTTAGTCCGCAGGCCGACGCCCTACCCACTGAGCCAAACCAGTTAGGGCTATTGTAAACATATTTAAAATATATTATTGATTTCAGAGAGGAATGGAGAGGGAGAAGAGATAGAAACATCAATGATGAGAGAGAATCATTGATCGGCTGCTCCTGCACGCCCCACACTGGGGATCAAGCCTGCAACTCAGTCATGTGCCCTGACCGCAAATTGAACCATGACTTCCTGGTTCATAGGTCGATGCTCAACCACTAATCCATGCCAGCTGGGCACAAACTCGTTTTTTATGTCACCCAGAAAGTAGGCCAGGAGGTGAGCACTGTAGACACTGACAGGTCTTGGGAGGGTCAGATCAAGCTCCCGTGTCTGGAGGAAGGTCAATCTGTTTGATTCTCACCTTGCCACAGGTGAGGATGAGAATTACAGGGAGCCAGTAAGGGGCATGGAGTGGGAGTGGGTACTTCTCTTGGACCATTTCTTTTAACCCCTCTGAGATTTTCCAAATTGGGGCTGGAATTTTCAAATAGATGGCTTGTTATGGGGAGACCTAAAGGCAGAAACATATTTCTGAATACAGTCCTCAAGCTTCAAGACAGGGAAATCCTTAGATACCCAGAGGGGTTGGTATCAAGCAGGCATTTGGGGGTTCTAGAACATGAGAAGAGAGTAAAAAAAAAAACCTCTGGGGTTCTAGGAGATGTATGGGATTCTAGTAAATGGGATAGTCCCAAGAATTAGTGCTCATTCCATGGAAAATGCCATCCACTTCAAATCAGTGGGAAAAGAATGGGTTATTTAACAAATGTTTTGGTGATATCTGATTATTTGTGGGGAAAGAGTTAGCACATCATGGCATCTGCCAAAGTAAATTCCAGAGTTAAATCATACTAGCCTGATCAGTCAAGTTCTTGGTTGCAAACCACAGAATCTGATTCTAACTAACCAGCAGAAAAGGACGTTGTTGGAAGGCTAGTGGGATCTCACTGTGACTGGAAATGTGTAGAACCTACTTCAGGAAAAGGATAGGAACCAAGGGAAGCAGGCAGTCAGGATCATGCGCAGGACTGGCTTACTCAGGATGCCTTGACCACACAGTCCCCTTCAGAGACTTGCCCCTGCACTTCTGGACGCCTGGCTTCTGAGACCTCCAGGAATAATTGCTTGTCCCCCTCCAGTGCTGTAATGATCAAGTTCCAAAGTCCAGAGGGAGAACTAGCAAAGGACAGGCAGACCCCGGGCCACATCCCTATGCCCAGTTGTCAGTGGATAGGGAGAGAGAATATCTGCCTCCCTGCCCCTCAGGATTCTCTTCAGATTATCAGGGTGTTTAGATACAGAGCAACAAAACCCAAAGTGTCCCAATTACAGTCACTGATGTTACTGGCTATGTACTAGCTAGCTGGGCCAACTGCTTTACATATATTGTTTCATTTAATCCTGAAAACAATCCTGTAAGTTAGAAACTATTATTTTTTTTTAAGTGAGCAAAGATTTTTATGCCAGTGGACAAAAAGGAAATTCATTTTATTACAACAGCACTCACATCTGCATCAGAATAACTAAACCACCATCCAGACAGCAAAAGAAAGAAAGAAGCTGAGATTTAAGGACACTTGCTTCTTTTGAACTTCAGGAGCAGGAGCAGGTCGGTTCTCATAATGCTCCTGTCAATATCATGCAACAGGAGACCGAGACCCGGCAGACTGGGGAGTCGGGGGAGGTGACCCATAGGCCTTCAAGAACTTCTCAAGTTGTTTTATCTTCTTATCTCGGGCACGGTTTTCCCGGTGCCTTGCTGCCAGGCTCAGGAGCACGCTTCTCACCCTATTTTGGACACGGGGCTGTCCGAAAACAGTGATTTCGATCAAGCTCCCGGAGTTCACCTTTTCCACTGTCAGCAGGACCTGGTTCATCCACTCTATTTCCGGAATCATGGCTCCGTTTTTGCCTAAACAGGAAGAGAGAGACTGAGGGGTGGCATGGTCGAAGGTCAAGAGGAGGCAGATTGGAAGGGAAGGCCGCCGCCATCGGCTTCCCGGCGTCAAACGTGGCCCTCGAAGTTGGGAAAGGCTGTCGAGAGGTGCCCTGCCCGGCCTCTCTCGGACTGGAGGGGACCAGGCCACCTGCACACCGGCTCGCTCACCGAAGATGGGGTCAGCCAGACATGCCTCCAGGTAAAACACCAATGGGTCTCTCAGCTCCAGCGCAGGAAACCACCAGGGCCGGGTGCGAATCCGGGGCAGTGGAAGCGGCATCTTCAGCAGCCTGTCCAGGGCCTGGGTGGACATCCATGGGTCCTCCTGGACCACGGCATCGGGCTGGTCGACCATGCTGGGAGCTGCAGCACCAGGGCGAGGTCTAGTGGCTCTCACAGAACTCCCAGAAACTATTATTATCCTCACTTTATACAGGAGGAAGGTGAAGATGCCTTTGGCCACACAGCTGGTAAGTAAGGGGGGTGGAGCTGAAATTTGGTCCTAGGTCCGTCTGACTCCAGAGTGGTGAAGAATGGCAAACAATAAGGCCATAAGCAACCTAGAAGAAAATAGATGAGTATTCATCTGGTCTTGAGAGTAGGAAAAGTCTTTCTAGACGTAAAAGTAAATGAATAAATGATAAAGGACACAAAAATATAGACACGACTATGTAAAAGTGTCAAACTTCTGCATTTTAACCTCCACCCATTTCTCCCCCCCCCAAACATTGGCAACCCCCAATCTGTTCTCTTCATCTATGAGCTTTTAAAAAAGATTCCACATAAAAAGAAATCATATGGTATTTGTCTTTGACAAAAAAATCAACTTCTATATTTTAAAAATGATAACACCACTAGCAAAATTAGAAGGCCTACTAGCAAGGAGTATTTGCAATATATCACAAAGTGTTAGTATCTCTGATATATAAAGAAGACATACAAATCCATAAGAGAAAACAAACATTTCATTAGAAAACTAGATAAAGGACCAGAATTGGCAATTCACAAAACAAGAAATATTAGTGGCCAATAAACTAGGGAAAATATTCAATATTACTAGAGAAGCACAAATTCAAATATTGAGATATCAATATACAATTTTTTTACCCATCAAGTTGGCAAATACATATATAAACATTTTAATATTTATTTATTTATACATATAATACTCTGCCAGTAAGAGTTCAGGGAAGCACATTTTAAAAATCAGCTTTATTGAAGGATAATTTAGCTACAATTAACCACATCCATTTCAATTATGCAATTTAATGAGTTTTGACATATATATTCACTCAAGAAAGCACTGCAACAATCAAGATACAGAACATATTCACCATCCCCCAAAACTTGCTCATGCCCCTTTATAGTCTATCACTTCTTCCACCTCTGTCCCCAGGAGGTAACCATCAATCTGCTTTCTGTCACTACAGTTTCATTTGTATTTTCAAGAATTGTATGTCATGGGATTATACAGTACATAGTATTTTGGTCTGGTTTCTCTCAGTCAGCATAATATTTTTGAGATTCATCTATGTGGTTGCCTGTATCAGTAGTTTGTTCCTTTGCATTGCTGAGTGGTATTTCCAATGTAATAAATATGTCATGTTTAATTCATTCACCTGGTGATAGTCATTGGGTTATTTCCAGTTTGTGGCAACTGGGCTGTTTAAACAAAGCTAGTATGAACATTCTGGTGGGAGTGTAAACTACTGAAATACATCAATTTGGTACCATATGTCAAAATATTAAAAATATGCATACCAAAATTACCTTAAGTCCAGGATTTGTTTCAAAGAGAATCCATGGAAGAAATGGGTGAGGGTGTAGGTGAAACAAGATTGGCTATTAGTCGATAGGTATTGAAACTAAGAGATGGGTACATAGGAGTTTGTTATACTATTTTATTTTTGTATATGTTTGAAAGTTTCCATCATAAAACTTCAATACACATATTTCTTGATCCATATATCCATATATGCACAAAGAATGTTCATAAGGTATTATATTTATAATAACAGTAAAAGAGTAAACAATCTAACTACCCAACACAAGATTGAGTAAATAAATTATGGCACATTCATGAAATGGAATACTATGGAGTCTTCAAAAATCATGTTTACAAAGTAAGAATACTCAATGACATTGAAAAATGCAATATACAGCCCTGGCTGGTGTGGTTCAGTTGGTTGAGCATTGTCCCTGTCAGGGCACATGCCCAGGTTTCGGTCTGGTCCCTGGTCAGTGTGCATAAGGAAGGCAACTGATTGATGTTTATCTCTCTCTCCCTCTCACTTCCTTTCTCTCTAAAATCAATGAAAATTTATTTTTAAAAAAGAAAAATGCAATACACATTTTATATTAAAAATGTAGGTTACCAAAAAAAATAAATAAAAAAAAATGTAGGTTACTGACTGGTGTGGCTCAGTGGTTGAGCATCGACCTATGAACCAGGAGGTCACAGCTCAATTCCTGGTCAAGTCATATGCCTGGGTTGCAGGCTTGATGTTCAGTGGGGGGCGTGCAAGAGGCAGCCAATCAATAATTCTCTCTCATCATTAATGGCCGACGCTCTATCCAAACCGGTTTCGGCTAAAGATGTATTTTTAAAATGCAGGTTACAAACCAATTAAAGACAGTATGATTCCATTTTTATTTAAAATATATACTAAATACAAATAAAAGACTGGAATGTTAATGATAGTAAATTATGTGGTATGATTACAAATGAAATTTCTACAGTGAGAATGTAATACTGTTATAATATTTTAATGGAGAAAAATAGTATTTCATTTCTTTTTCATACTTTGCACTTTTTTTCAGATTCTTTCCCTTACATTGTCTTATTTTTAACCCTACAAGATCAATAGAAGAGTTGTTTTTTTAATATTCCCACAGACCCAAAGTGTAATACTTTAAGAAATAAAAATTATTATTAAAAAAAAAGAAAAAAAAAAAAAAAAAAAAGAAACTGAGGGTCAGAAAGGGGAAGTAACCTGCTTAATGCCATCACACACACAGAAAATGAGTGCTAGAGCCCAGCCAGCGTGGCTCAGTAGTTGAGCTTTGACCTATGAACCAGGAGGTCATGGTTAGATTCCTGGTCAGAGGACATGCCCAGGCTCAATCCCCAGTAGGGGGCAGCCAATCAATGATTTTCTCTCATCATTGATGTTTGTATCTCTCACTCCCTCTCCCTTCCTCTCTGAAATCAATTAAAATATATATTAAGAAAATGAGTGCTAGAGCCAGGACTGGAAGTCAAGGAAGGCTCTGTGGCCAACTCTAGGAACCTTTCACTGTCTCTTAGAATGAAGGATCCCAGTTAAACCCAGTTCCTGACAGGGACTATGAATACACATTCTTGAATAGGATGCCTCAAAGATGGGACAACTGCCCTGACATCTACTCTTAGTTCTAACCTTGGCCACAGACTGAACCCTCTCCTCTCTTTTAATCTGGGCTGGAGGCAATGGACCACTCAACTTCACACAGAACAATTTCCCCAATCCAGGCGAGTCTGAATTCTGATCTATGTTGCACAATGAGCCTTTTTTCTCCCTCCCTTCCCCCTCTTCCATCATACAAATCTGTATGGTTGAAAGGGGGACAGGATGGGCTGGCGTGGCTCAGTGGTTGAGCATCGACCTATGAACCAGAAGGTCATCAGGCACATGCCTGGGTTTTGGGCTTGATCCCCAATATGGCGTGTGCAGGAGGCCAGCCGATCAATGATTCTCCCATCATTGATGTTTCTCTCTCTTTCTCTCCCTCTCCCTTCCTCTCTAAAATAGAGAGAGAAAGAGAAAAGAAAGGGGAAGGAGTAGTATATGGGTAAATCAGTACAACCTCCTCCCCTCAAGGGTCAAGGGTAGCACTTTCTTATAGGCAGTCAGGCAGGCACCTTTTAACTAGAAGGGCAAGGGCAAGTCCACAGCTCCTATAGAGGATGCTCAGAAGCAACGTTCTACGTGGGGAGAGCCTGGTGTTTTTTGAGAACATCTCTCTCACTGGTCCATGTACCCATTTGGGGCTCTCAGGTTGCTCCATCATAAGGGCCAGGCCCAGAGGCCTTTCCCTAGGTCTTCGAGTTAGCTGAGGTGAGAGAGTGGCCAGTCTTAGGTCGGTTCTTGAAAGGCCTTTAGGAAACAGGGGTGGAACGCAGGGGCAGGGAGTCTTGAGAGCTGCTGAAGGAGCACCAGAAAAGATCGCGGGCGGGGGGGTGGGGGTGGGAGAAGATGCGACCCCTGACACCTGCCTAAAGAACTGGGGAGACAGAAAACAGTGGACCGTCCATTTCCTCTTCACCTCTATTTCCGGAAGCTCTGTCCGAACTCCCCAATGCTGGGAACCTCAGCGGAGGTGACTGGCACTGCCCCAGGAATAAGGAGGTCCCCAAAGATGGAAAGGAATCTCCCTTCCTTCAAGGTAATTGGGCCAGTCTTATCTCCCTCACTGCCTCAGTTACCCCCATCTGCCCTTTGCGGCAGCAACAGCCTTCCTGGGGCGG